ACATAATATATAAATATAAAAATCAATGATAAACACAGATCAGATAGGAAAACCAGAAAATTTAAACTCCTCGAACTGCAGTCGCCGTAGTTGGATTATAACTTCAGAAGCGAGAAACCACACACTTCTTGCGGTATACGTTGAAATAAATGAGATTTTTCGCATGCTACCACTCTCGCGCTCAAGAGTAAACTTGTAAAACGTGCCACCAACTTTCTTTTAATTCATTTTCATTAATAAATGACCGCATAATTTTCAAATGTGTCTTATACAAAATGTAACTAAAAAGTTGAGCAAAACTTTGGGTGCATGTTCCTCATATGTCAAAGACGTAAAAGTATTTATACGAACATAAACTTCTAGATAAACTTTAGTCAAACTTTGAAAGCTTTCTCAAAAGATTGCCTAGCATTACAGCATGAAACATTTTCTGATTTTCAGTAATTTATTTATTCCTCTTCCCTTATTCAGGTTTTTTAATTAAGTTTTATATTTTTTTCCTTCATATTTGTTAATTTTATTAAGACGTTAATACAAGGCACAGAAATATATTACAGAAAATCACAAAATGTATATACTTGTATGTTATATACATATTAAATCCGTTATAATCCAATATTGCTCCGACAACTGCCTAAGAGTCTTAACCTTTCCCTCGCAAATCTGCGATCTGAGAACCATCGGGGTCGACAAATACCGACGGTCTCGGCGATTTGGGCTTGATCTATCGCAAGTCGCAACCGCCTGCTCAGCCGCGGTCAGTTTCGCTCGAAGGAACGAGTTGTCCCTCCGGGCACGGAGAGAAAGGCCCGCCACCCCGTTGCTTCCTTCTCCCTAGCTTACAGGCGGGGAAAAGCCCGTGGGGGTTGCGGACGCCATTCAACCGTAACAAAAGGCAATCACCATAGAAGTGGCGGCACTGGAACTAGCAGCGGTCATAAGTTATCGAAATCACGTCGATATTTCGCGGAGAGTTTCGCGAAACATACTGTACTGTTGGTGCGCTGGGAGGTGAATAAAAGTATACGCCAAGTGCGATATAAATTGCACTGATTATAATATAACAGCCGCGCGACAAGCGTCTAGATTCAAAACGTGTGGCTCTAACGGGTCGATTAACGATGAAAACTTAGTTACACAATAATTAATGATGACGATTAAATTCTAGCAATTTAGTGTACTAACATTAGTCAATGTACTAATCATTGGCCAATTGTAATGTGTTATAACAGTTAAATGATTATAAATAATGATGACAGATTAATTGTGGTTTAATTAGTAATAACAACTGAAATCAATCAAGTAAGTACCGTAACAATGATTAATTGGACTACGAGTGTCAATTCAATTGGTATTAATAGATATGCTAGCGGTTTGTTTTCTTTCAATAATTTTTTTCTTCAGTTAGAATATATGCTTTATTACACGGGATAAACCTCCGTTTATATTAATATTTGGGTTGCCCCATTTTGCGTACATAGCGCCCGCTCAATTGTTTATCAAGTATCACGCCAACTACGGTAGCGCGGCAATCAGTTGAGAATCTCTCGATATAATCCCGATTGTGCCAGAAAAAGCGATATAACGTTGTTTGAATTTTTACGCAAATCCGTCAAATCCGCATCAATGTAAAATTTCCAACAAACGCAAGATTCGCTAACGTACTGGCTACGCATTTGCGCTATATACGGATAAATACGTGCAACAACGGAAACGTCCGTCGATAAAATTATAAAAAAATGCATCATCTGAACTAACGATTTTACACGAAGGAATGGAGGGGGGGCGTACAACCATCGTCAATCTCTGCACGTCCATTCGCATTCAATTGAATGCTCGAATATATCGAGTGTTCGTCGAATGTCCGCTCGAAAATACACGAAATTACTCGAGAAGTTTTTGAACTAATTGTCTCTTGTTGCAGAACATGTTTTCAGAAAGTTTTTCGTGAAATTACAGTGTTCATATAATAATACTTAAAATATAGCGGGAATTATTTTATATTTGATTTTATACACACATCTCTCCTATTTCATCTGTGTTTTATAAATTCAAAAAATTGCAATAAAATAGAATTTTTTTCGTTTAATAAATTAAATTGATTACTATCTTGATCAATAACATTGATATCTTTGTGTGTAAAACTTGTGATTTGAAAATATAATCATTTATTTACAACAGATTTACGTAATAAAAATTTTTCTTGTTTCCCTTTTCCTTTTTTTCTGCTTTTTAATATTTTATAGTACATTTTATAAAAGGCAGCTCGATAAAACCAATATTGTAAGATAACAAATAATGGCGATTTTGTTATATACAATATTTTAATATTGTACGATAAGAATATAATATTTGAAAATTATAAACGTCCATCATTGCTAGAACTACAAGTATCTTGATTCACTAAAAGTTTAAGAGATTTTTGCCAACTGATCTCATCCCTTGAAGCAACCTGTACTGGCGATGTAATCCAAACGCTTGGTTAAAAATTTCACAAATCCATGAATTTCCGCCTCTTTCCGCACGAAATCTCCGCACGAAGACGGCATGCCGTCATTATCCGAACGCGAAACATTGCAACACGCCGAGGGAAAACAGCGAGAGGGTGGCTCGCTACATCGATCGGGGTTAATATCAGGGGAGGGGAAGAGGGCGGGAAGTGAGGTAGCTTACAAATTGCACTCTCAATTTTCGTGAGGAAGCGCCGGCTGGCTGGCGTTGCGAGCTGCAAAGCAGGTTTTATCGAGTTAAAGCGGAAACGAAGAAGGGAGCCCGAAAGGCGGACGAAGGAAGAGGCGGTCAGGAGGAGGGAGAGGCAGGTCGAAGAGTGGACCATTAAATCGCAGTACCTGCAATTACATCGATCTAACCGTGTCTGATGATGTTGATTTAAGTTCGAGGAAGGACGGCGAGTGGATTTCGAGTCGTTTTCGAATTTCGCCAAGAGAAATTAAATGCGGAGCATCGCGCATTTCAGAAGAAACAAAAATTTCTCGACTAGTAATAAAAACTAGAATAATAGAAACATTGACATCCTCACAAATTACATCACCGTGTTTCCCCTCGTGTTTTAAATTATTATTTTAAGAAAGACTCGTGGAGGGTTTCGTAACGAAACAAAAAACTTATAAGTGTATATTTGTCTTGTGTTATCTTTTTACCCGATTACATAAGACGGTTCTCGTAAATAAGATTCAACAATTCAGGTGTTAACTGAAGTTGAAATTGATATTGATGTATATTCGCGAAGAGAGAAGGAGAAAAGAAAAAAACCGCAGTTAGACCGGGAAGATGTAGAAATACAGTTATGCAGATGCAGTTGAAAGGGACTGAACTAATTAGAATCAATATCTTACTGTATCGCACGTTGCATTAAGTTGTACTGCGTTGTTGAAGCATTAGGTAGCTTCGCGCGGTTACAGTGTCTCGCCGCAGTTGCCTGACGATTTTTCATCGCGCTCGCATAATTAAACTTTCAATACGACGCGATGGCGATCGCGTTTTTGCGACGGACACTTCGCGCCGGCAAAAAGATCGTTAGCGGATTCCGGAAGTGCTATATCGATAGTTTATCGATTCTAATTTACCGGAAAGTCGTTATCCGACAAAACCCGATCGTCTCGGATTTATTTAATAATTATGAAGAAACTTAGAGGTTTGCGCTATTTATTTTAAATTATAGTGGAATTAATACCTAAATTTTCGTGAAAATATTGATTATAATTGTTCCAATTAAATTAATATTCGTCCTGTCATGTGTATCATATAGAGCCTGAATAATAAATGAAATATTCGCGTTAACTAATTATTACAACATTATATATTTAAAATAGGGCAAGAAGAAGAGAAAAAAGGCACATAAAATATACGTGAGACTACATAAAGTGGAAAACTATACATGTAGTCCAAGAAACGATGGATAAAATCACTCCACGTGAAAATGTGGAGAAGTTGAAACAAGAAATGTTTAATATCAAGATATTAGGATGCGCAATAAAGAATATTGGTTAAAATAATCGGACAGCTTGACGCATACATAAAAATAGCCTTCGCTTTGACGAAGTGCATTGCAAAATAAGATTCGTGAAGCGGTTTCTTAATGGTGTCATGCGTTAAACTTTACGCCATCGAAGAAACTGAAGGATTTCGTCGTATAATTAGACAAGTTAATTACAACGAAGTACGTAATAAGCACAGACTTTAAATTAACTCACGACAACCTATTCTTGGTGTTTTGTAAGTCGGACCAGAGTCACGTTCAAAGTACGTCTTTCTGTTTTATATCGTATTTGAAAGTACTGATTACACCTTTGCCATTAATTATTATGTGATACTAAGAAACAATATAATATGATCAATTAAAAAAACTAAATTATGTAATGTTTATTAATTATTTCTCATATAATGCTTCGGAAAGAAAGAGACAACGGTAAATAAAACGGTATCAATTAAAATTTCCTCTGTGTTTGCGTGACAAAATTGCAAAATGTAGAATGTGAAAGGAGAAATATGTATATGGATATACAAAATCCATAATGAATATTCTCTCAAGATAAGCATTAAGAATAAAAAGTATCAATTGAAATACCGACTATTAAATATTTACAGCGAAAATGGAAAACGAAAGATCGTAAATTAATTAAAATTTCCCGTTAAATACAATAAAATAATGTAAAATGGGAAATTACATAGTTTATATAATGAAAACGAAGCAGAAATGCAGGATAAAAATTATTACAAGAAAAGTAATTAAATCCGCGCGGCGGATCTGAGGGGATAAATAAAATTCCGGACGTCCCGTTCCGTATCGTGCACGCACTTTGACGCATTAAGAACTCGTAAAAGCGTCCATTACTCAGATATTAAACATACTCTTGGCACTTACGCGTCTTCTTGCTTATGCACAAGCTAAATTTCGAGCTAATTTTACCTTGGAGTCGCTCGTTCTCGCGAATGGTTTCGCTTAATTGCGTCGCACGATGCCAGCATTACGTACTTACCGTGATCTGAAACAAAAATGTAAATCAATCATTTTTCATAATTGTATACAAATAAAATGTATACATTAACATCAAATAGTTGTGGCAGTATCGATTACAATAAATTTCTAAAATAATTAAGAATCATAATTTTAAAACTGCAGTTATTACACAAATAAATTTTCTAATATTTATTAAAAATCCTAAATTTGAAATGGTAACAATTAATGTTTTAAATGCCTATTAGACTACATATGTGTACAGCTTGATTATTTTTTTTTATAAATTAAATTTTGTTATTCTTTTAGTATTATTACTTATAGCACTAAATCTTTATTAAAAAGAAATTTTGTTTAGCACTTGCCGAAGAATTTGTAAATTGGAAATACTATATAAATGTAAATCAACCTAAATGTGTTACCTTTACATTGATTCTATGAATTAATATAACATTACAATGATGTAACTAGTTTTTGATTGTTTTTAGAAAACGTTTAGAGGGGTTTAATTGTAAGACTATCAAAAACGAAAATGAAATAAAACCGGTCGGTGTTTTTGCGAGAAAGTAGCTAGATACACGACTGGTTTGAGATGATAGATCTCGCAGTGCCGGAGGTGAAGGATTTGTTAGAAAATTGAACAACCGTGAAACAAGTTCTTACTGTAAAATTTGATTTGTCTTTTATGGATCACGATGTCGTTCGTGTGAACAATTCGATTATTTCAACAACTTCTGTTCCCTACTCTGCGTGGTGCACTATACATTATTAAAAAAAATAAACGCGTAGGCACTTATATCACATGAGTGCACTTTCGATGCACTTGGCGTATCGATGCAGTTACGGAGTGAGTTTTTGCGCGGCTTTACAGCGCATTTTTAGTGAGAGGTCGGAGGGTTGTCTTGCATTACATGTCCATAAGTCGGCAGTATATGGCGTTGGATAAAATAAAGTACGGTGCACTTTAGCCGATGAAGACGGAACGCGAAAAACTCATGGTGATGCAACGTCGCGGTATACGTTGACGATCGACTTTTCTCGATATGATTCTCGATTTAATGATACTTCAATTATTATGTACGTAATATCATCGATATTGTTATATGTACAATAGCTACGCGAGATAACAGCGTTATTATATGCAGTTATTATTCAATGCTGCATTTGCCGTTAAAAATTTCATTTTCCATTAAAATTTTCTTCAAAATGTCATGCCGTTTCATAAATTAGATTGCAAGCAATAAAAGATAGACGTTTCTATTATTTTCCGTGGAATCGTTTATTCTTTGTAGTATCTGCACTTCTTTTGTGGCATCCGCATTGTTGTTCCGTTGCAAAGTTATTGAAAAGAATCAGAGAATGTAGATATTAATTAAGATTATAAAATGTAATATGCGTAGAGTACAATACCACAATCACAGTAAATTATTCACTGCTCAAAATTATATGAAATATCCAATCTGTTACAAACGTTTGAAATTTGTAAAAAATAATTTCAACAAAACTAAACTTTACGATTAAAAAAACAACAATAATTAGTATTCTCCAATTAAAGAAATGTTCAAAAAGTTGTAAAATTACAATAATTTTGATGGTTTGAGTTTTCACGTAAAAGCTACTACAAATACTTCTTGCATAGTATCGCCCCGCTTTATTTTATGCTTGTTAGATATTGCAATTGTTCAAAACAGGTGCAGGTTTGTGTTACGTTAGTCAATTTTCGCTTCGGCAAACAGCCTTGTATTCGTAAACGCGTTGATATTTTGGACCGTCATAAAGCAAACGTAATACTACACGGGATTGCAAAGTGAGAGGAAGAGAGAAAGAGGGAGAGAGATTCGCGATTTTGATAAAAAGGTTACGCGTCCATTTTAATCGAACCGCGAGATTGCAATCGCGGGTGCACCGAGCTATCGAGTTTCCCGCGAAATATTAAATGCAATGCGTATGCAATCGCATCGACGATTCGCGTTACAATTGCATTTATTTTTATGGCAGCGCAGAGACACCTCAGTTCACAAACATTCTCGATTATATTCGTTAAATGTAGAAGAAGAAAGGTAAACGAACAGAAAGGAAGAGAGAGAAACAGAGAGACTTAAAAGACCATCAAATAGTACTGAATACTTTAACTGAAATATTTTAGTGTCTATTTTCCCTCCCCCAACTTATACCCAAAACTTTCTTTTCTCATTTCTCTATTTTATTTTACGGGATAAGATATCTGTTCCTCTCCTCGATTCTTTATTACTCTCTTTTAAAAAATCTTCTTTATTGTACTTTGCAAATACAATAAAAAATTGAAAGGATTAAACAGTAAAATTTAAGTATCGCCTTTCGCAATTTTGGGGGTTTTTCTATTTTTCCACGTCGATTGTAGAAAGGATTTCTTCAATTTCAGGTATTTGCAATTCAGACACAGGCGTCTTAGATCGCGTTTGGATAAGACGCATGCAAAAAGCAGTATCTATTTGCGTCAGAACGCTCCCGCCAGACCGTAGGGCAAGCCTCAAGCAATCCTTCCACCCACATTTGGATGGTTCTTCTTCACGCGCGTTTACAAGGCGGATCGTATGCAAATCTCTAGCGGCTTAATTACGCGACACGCCTACTATATGAGGTCTCAGATCGCACGTAACACGAACCGGAAACCAATATATCTGACCGGCGATAAGAAGGAACTCTCATTCGTAGGTCGCTGTGCGTTCCTTTCATGTATCGTCGCCGATTGAGAGACGAAGAGATCGAATAATTCCGAAACCAAATGATAAAGAAATCGGATAAATGATTTGGCAACAAATTATATTAATTATTAGAGTTACGCATTCTCCTTCATGTATTCCACCTTGCTCAGATATTGATTCTCTGGTACCTTTCAGATCTTGCAACGTGTAACACCGTTTCAATTACTAGATAAATAATCTGACGAGAAACAATTATCACCAACCAGGTACAATAATTACTAGTAGTATCGAAAAGCAAATTTTCATATGGCCTTTTCCTACGAGCCACCCGGTATAACCACCCCGGACGCTGTCACGTAATGAATGCTTCCAAAGCATCACATGCGAATCTTACATTTATCTTCCTCCTTCCAACCGACTAATCCTTGGCGGATGGCTCGTTCGTTCAAAGAGAATAGCGTTTAGGTTTCCATGGTGCAACAATATTTGCATTTTCATGACATAACGCCAAAATGTAGCGGAGAAGGTAACGGTGAAACAGAATAACAAATCACGCTCGGATACTCGTTTTTAATCCTTTCGTGCGCGATAAACTGTCAGGAAAACGCGGCGAAAATAGGATACTGCAAAGTTTAAATGCAATTTACATATGTTTTCCCGATACGATTCTTATAGCGCACTATAAATAAATCATTGTGTAACTTGAATAATTTCAAGCGACCGCCCTCGTCCCGGACGATGTTAATTTAAATTGTAAATATAAAATATAAATAAAGAAAAATTCTCTTTACGAGTTTATATATTTTATATATGTTGGTTTTACATGTTCGTTTTAAAATATGTGAGCTTTCAACAATTAATAAAAACGTTTTCATACAATATGTAAAATATCTAAATTATATATCCAATATATATATATTTTTTTAATTGTTTCAAGAATCAGATAATTGTATATTAATTTAAACAGTATATGCATTTGAAAACAATTTTTGTATATGTTTTATATTGATTTAATATTATATTTTTTTACTTCACTACACACAAATATACATGTAGAATAATGTAGATGTTTCTGAGAACTGAAGAATTTAAAAAAATGGAAAATTTTTAGAGCTATAGCCGTAACAAGTCCATTGTGGACATTAAATTCTATTTAAAACGATCCTTTTTAAGCTCATTTTTCAAGACATTAATTTTTTAAGTCTAAAACGTCTTATTTTGTCCAACTTAATTTGCATTTGTATCAATCTAAATGCAATCTGGCAGAAATTACCTGAAGATATGACTTTAATTAGCCCTATGATAATTTGCATGATAAAATAAGAAAACGTCTGTGGCACATAAGATACTTTTAGTGCGCGTTGAACTCCGTTGAGTAAAAGGCTAGTTGAAATAAATTATTTAATATGACATCTCGCAGTCGTGAACTTTAGTGCCACAATGTTGCATTATTATTTAATTGTCAAGTTTGTAATAAATACAATTAGTTTCATTTCACGTATGTCTTGCTAAATTGCATACGATTAAAAATTTGAATTTTTTTTACTCGTCTAAGGTGAACAAACTTAAAGCTTATTTCGTCTGCTGTACAGAATATTTTATGACGGTAGAAGTACCTAAGCTTTTTGACAAAAATCTGGAATTAATTTTCCTTATGATGAAAATATCGAGGAACAAGTCGTCTCTTCCCGCTGCCATTCTAAATTTTCAGTCAGAATTGTAAAATTTGTAACTGAATAATGAAAAATTTTACAATTCCTTATCTTTGACGGTTCATGACTTAAAAGCATTAATACTTTTTTTCGTTGATAAAAACTTGGAATAAGTCTGTATAAAAATTATTTACATTTAAGGTTGAAGAAGCATTGATTTCATATTGTGGAGATCAAAGGTAAACCGATCAGTATGCAGCCAAGGCATCGATTAAAATTCTTGAGGAATGAATGCAAACTCGCGCGAATGGAAATTCACTCGCGCGTAAGCGATAAAGTTTTAATCCACGGTGAAAATAATGAAACTTCGAGGGAAAAGTGCACTTTTCCTTCTAATTTTCTCGCTGGGTGCCAAATCGTCGCGCGATAATTCCAACTTCCGCAGCGCGAGCTTATCGGATGCGATTATCTTCGTGGCTCGCCCTAGGATCTCGTTTTAAGCCTAAAGAGACTTCCGAATAATTACAGACAATATGTGGAAGATAGGGGAAAATTGATTTCAGGGAAGCGCCGCATTTAAACAACGTAACTATACATTTTAAGATTATTCATACATCATTATGTATGTAAATTATTGATTATTTTCGTATCGTTACATGTTAATTATTAATCAGTGATGACGAAAATGAATA